GGCTGCAGCAACTGTCCTCTACCTTCTCTCAGATTAAATGTATTCATACACTTCGAGAGGCCAATTTCGTAGCAGATACACTTGCCAAAAACAGTTACCAACTGACCAGCCCCCACGTGTTCTTCAACACTCATCAACTCCCCAATATCGCGGCAGCTTACTTTCATCAAGACTGGCATGCCATGTTTCAGAAGAAGAAAGTTGAAGAGAATTAAAGAACCATCTTAATTCATTTCCAGCAAATAAGGACTTGAAAGAAGCTTGAACTTCGTCAACCTTCTTTTGATGATCAACCAATCATCATCACTTGGCTACTCCTGTTAGGATAGTCCCTAGTTGAGTCTCTTTTTTACTTTAATTGTAAAGGTAGAGTCTCCCTCATTTATGCTTTCCTAGATTCCATGTATCGAGAGGAGTCCTCTCACATAGGTGCATAGAAAATAAGTTTCTTTTCTAGTTTGGGGAAGGTTTGGAGAACCGAATAAGGATGCTTAATCGGCTACCAACTCTTGTACCACCATTAAGCGGAGGTAAGGTTTAAGTCCCCCTCCTTGTAATTTTGATTTTATTAATGATAAGGCCTGGGGGTGTTGCTCAGCCCCTACCCCTCTAAGGGTATTAAAAAAAAAAAAACCCAAAATCCTAAACGCTAAACCCTAAACACTAAACCAGAAACCCTAAACCCTTAGCCATAAACCCTAAACCCTAAACCCAAAACAATAAACCTACAACCCAAAACCCTAAACCTAAAACCCAAAACTCTACACCCTAAAAGCTAAACAATAAACCATAAACCCTTTATGTAACCATAAACCATAAACCCTAAATCTAAACTCAAAACCCTAAACCCTAAACTCAAAACCCTAAACCCTAAACCCTAAATACAAAACCATAAATCTATCCCTTAAACCCTAAACTCTAAATCCTAAATGCTTAACCCTAAACCCTAGACCCTAAATCCTAACCTCTAAACCCTAAACCCTAAACTTTAAAAAAAAAACTTTTAAAAAAATTTAAAAAAAAAAAAAAACTACAACTTGAAACCCTAAACCCTAAACCCTAAATCCTTAACCTAAAACCTTAAATCTTTAACCCGACTGGCCTCTTTGTTCATAGTGGTTGAGAAGTTTGCTCCATACCACTAATAGGTCAAGGGTTCAAAGGTTGGTTAGGAGAAGGAGAAAAGAAGAAAAAAACCTTTAACCCGAAAACCTAAACCCTAACACCAAAACCATAAACCTTAAACCCTAAAACCTAAACCCTAAACCCTAAACCTTAAACCCTAAACCTACAACCCCCATCGCACCTTCATTTGACAAAATTTTTCTCTCTGTAAATTCTTACTCTAAAAAAGCGCTCAAGACAGCCAAAATAACGGCTACATTTCCAAAATCTGCAAACACTGCCGGAACGGCGCGTGAGCCGCCGGCAGAGCTCCCCAGGCCACCGGATAAAGACCAATCGGAGCGCCTGAATGCTACCGACAAAACCCACCCAGCCACTCTCTCTAATTCATCCCACAACTCCACGAATTCGCAAAACACTAACGCGATCAACACAGCGATTTCGGTCAAAGAGTTGGAAGGGACGCGTAATTTTATTTCCCCAAGCGATTCTGTATTGATTCGTGAAAAAGTGATTGGATATATGGAATCTCCTAGTCTCGATCTACATTATAGTAAAAACCCAACTGATTTCATCGTTCCAATCGACGAGAATCGAGAGGTGACCTATGCGAAAGACGCAAACGAATATCCAGAATTGCGCCTTCAATTTCGAGATACTTCCAGTCAAATTCGTACTGATTCAACCACTGGGGATTACTCCCCACATGATGAGGTTCATCTCACAGAAAATTCAAGCAAAATGGATGGCGGAATCACCGGCGGGAAGGAATCCGGCGAACCTCGAACTCAGGTCACCGGAGTCTATGAAAAGTCTGGGAAAAGAATTGATTCCCCACCTTTGGACATCCATCTTACAGATACATCAAGCAATTTGGAAGGAGGAAACACCAACAACATTCAGTCAATCCATCCGGATGAAGTTGCAATGAACTCGAGCAAAGGAACTAGCAGGAAGACTCAAGATATTGATAAGACTAATTCATTCCCTGCTCTAGCTGCAAGAACCAACGACCAGCTGCTGAGTGCAATTCATACCTCAGGAACACCTACAACACATGAAGAAACAGTTCAAATGCAGGAAATGGCAATGAACATACAACAAGCCAATGGTCACAGCAAGAGGAACCAAATTACAGAAAGCTCAACTGCAGAAGCTCAATCATCGAACTTCTCCTTTGGAATTAGAGGTAACTCAATGAACTTAATCCCTAATGATAATCCTTCTGTAATGCAGGATGCAAACCAGGACAGGACAATGGAGATAGTCGAATTGGATCAACAACGAAAGATTGTACCAACAAGTCAAAGTCGTCAAAATAATGGCAAAGAGGTGCAGACAGGACACAAAGACAAAGAGAAAACAAAAAATTAGAATGAGGATGCAAATCACCAAAGAGGAACTAGTCGAGCTCAACCGAAAAACACTAAAGCTACTAGGGAATATCAGGATAACTTTCCTCGGATCTCCAACAACTTTGCTAGGTATGATCCTAATCTTCAAAGGAGTAAACATGTCGATAATCAGGCTAGTATTAATGTAGATCAGAATGGTAACAAAAATCTGAGCAATCAGCAGCAAAGTCGAGCCCAGAACTCTAAACAGGATAATATCCCTGAACCTGCTCCTTTCACTATTGTGCAATCCTTTGCTGCTCGATTAAGATATAATCAATCCAAAAATGAAACTCCTATTGTGTTGAATAGTCCCGTACACACCACTAGACAGGGACTACCTGTTGTACTACTGGACGAGGATGATTATAATATCAAATTGGCTGAAATTTGTAAACACACTCTTGTTGGCAAATTCACCAACACCATGCCCAAAATGGAATTGATCCGGAAAAGCTTCACTTTGCAAACTCAATTAACTGGAGGGGTGAAAATAACTCATTTTAATTCTAGACATGTGTATATCGATCTTGACAATGAGTTTGACTATGTTACGGTTTGGACTAAACAAAGGATGAATATAGAAGGTCAACTAATGAGAATCCAAACTTGGACCCCTGATTTCACACGTGAGGAAGAAACCCCTATAGTCCCTATATGGGTGGCACTTCCTGAACTGCCATGGCATTGTTACAATAAGGTCGTTTTAACAACCATCTTGAGCTCTATTGGCAAGGTATTATACCTTGACTCACCTTCTTCCCAGAAAACTAGAGGCAGCATGGCTAGAGTTAAAATTCAAATTGACCTTACCAAGGAAAGACCCCCCCATGTCTGGCTGGGATTCAAGAACTCTGATCCCAACAAAGGGAGGTGGCAAAAAATTCAATATGAAGGTATTCCCGACTACTGTCATTACTGTAAACACCAAGGGCATGTGGATAATGTTTGTACTGTCAAGAGAAGAGATGAGGAGTTCCAAAAAAGGAAAGAAATGGAGGCTGAAAAGAAGAACAAGACGAAGGGAGAACAAGAGAAAGGAGTCAATAAAAATCAGGTACAAGACCATGGTAAATCAGCTGTACAGGCTCCACAGCAATCTGAGCAAAGAGAAGACTGTAGACCTGGAGAAAATACAAAACAACCTCAAGGAAAAACTCACCCTCAAGTCCAACAACACACTCACACTACCCAGGTCCAGATTCACCAAGAGCAGGAAGTTGGTGATCAAGAAGAGCACTGGCAGATCCAACGAAAGAAGCAGAACAAAAATCAGGACCAATCTTATCCCAAGACTGCCTGGAGACCTGTCTCACCACAACAAAAAGGAGCCAAGAACAGCAAGCAGCAGGAAACACAACCATCAGGTATACTTCCTACAATTCTTACTCATAATAACTATATTAACCTCGAAATGCAGGAACTACAAGATACAAACAATGAGGAGGAAGGTAACAACAACAGGACAGTAGGGCAAGGAAATCAGACAATGCAAGGATCAGATAAGGATCCATCTCTAATAAATCTTAACAATAACACACCAAGAAAGCAGGTTGTAACCTCTGAAACACATAACACCCCAGGTATTGACTCTCTAATCCCAACCCCTAATCCCCATCATACTATTGATATTAATGTTGCTGAGGAAGCTGCTGGAGGTATGGAAGGGAGGGTTCAGGAGACACACACTAATTTGCAGGAAGGGGTATCCAAAGGGGGGAGGGGGGAATTGACTCATGTTCTGCATGAGGTTGAGACTTACGACCATAGGATTGACTCTAGAGCCCCTGCTACCCCTATCTCCACGCAAAGGATAGCTGATCAATATACAACTCAGGAAAGGAAAAAGATGACTACTGAAACAGAACAACAGAGAGACAGAACAAACAATAAATCAGGAGGGAGGCTGAGTAAAAAGAAAAGAGATGCAATGAAAAAGAGGCAAGGAAAAAGAGGACTACTGGAACAGGGGTTAACAGAAAAAGGTCAGCAACTAGAGAAACAGACAGAAACCAAAGTCAAGAAGGGGAGACCCATACAAGATGATTATGGAGCTCTGAACTCAGAAGATGAGCTAGACCCTGATAATCAATCCGTAGATGAATATGATGAAGAGGAGGAGGAAACTAGCAATCATCTAATTTAAGCATTTGGCTCAACCATTATCACTGAATGGTCGGAAGAGCTCCAGGAACTCACTGAGCAGCAAGGATTGTCTCCCAGAGGGAGGAAGCAAAACAGAAACACCAAACAGCCGGCTACCACCAGTATCTCTGCCACTGCTAGCAGGCCCATCACAAGGTCCAAATCTAAAGGTTTTTGATGATTAAGGCCCTTTGTTGGAATGCTAGGAGTATCAATACCCAAGGTTCTATGGAGAGACTACTAACACTCAAGAAAATGCACCAGTTAGACATGATTGTTGTACTTGAGCCCTTTGCAGATAACTCCCATCTTAACACTGTGAGAATCCATCTTCAAATGGAACATGCAGTTAGTAACTCTAATGGAAAAATTTGGCTTTTTTGGTCTAACGCAATCACTGGTAATATTCGTGAAAATAGTGAGCAACATATCACAGGAGACTTCAAGCATTCTGATCTTACTGAAGGTTTCATGGTGTCCTTCATTTATGCTAAGTGTAAGGAACATATGAGAAGACCTTTGTGGGATAGTCTACTACAGTATGCTAGCTTGGACATACCTTGGTGTACCATTGGAGACTTCAATGTTATCACCAATATAGAGGAAAAGCTTGGGGGAATGCCTTACAACATGAATAAGAGCTTTGAGTTTATAGGTGTGATTGAAGCCTGTGGCCTTACTGATCTGGGCTTTACAGGTATACCTTTCACTTGGTGTAACCAAAGGACTGCACAAGCTAGAGTTTGGAAGAGGTTGGACAGGTCCATGGTCAATGACAAGTGGCTAGAGATCATGCCACAAACTACTATTGAACATCTATCCTCAGTTGGATCTGATCACAACCCTCTTTTGATGGAATTGGTTAGGAAAAATGAGAATCACATCAAATATTTCAAGTTCCTTCATTGCTGGGTGGATAATGTTAATTTTATGGAGACGGCTCGAAAGTGTTGGGATACGGATGTCACAGGTGATCCTATGTGGCAACTTCATCAGAAAATGAAGAGGCTAACACACACTCTTAGCAACTGGTCAAAGAATGAATATGGAGATATTTATGCCAAAGTGAAAGAATTTGAAGAAACTATCAAGAAGGCTGAGGAGGAACTGCTTACACATAACACTGAAGCACTGAGACAACAACTACATCTCATGAATGCCAATTATATTAGATATTTGAAGTTGGAGGAATCCATCCTTAAACAAAAGACTCAACTCCAATGGTTTAAGGAAGGAGATGCCAACACCAAATATTTTCACGCTTTGATGAGGGGTCGAAGAAGAAGACTCTTTATACATAAAATCTGTACAGGGAATGATGTGTGGGTTCAAGGGGATGAGCAGATAGCACAAGCAACCTGTGATTACTTCCAGGAAATGTTTACTGGTCACAATCGCAGAATAGATGGAAGAATCCTTCAATATTTGCCTACTCTAGTCACGCCTGAGCAGAACCAGAAACTGCAGGAAATGCCTACTTTGGAGGAACTAAAGCAGGTGGTGTTTGCCATGAATCCAAACTCAGCACCTGGCCCTGATGGTATTGGTGGTAAATTTTACCAAGCATGCTGGAACATAATTAAAGAGGATCTGCTAGCTGTTGTACAACACTTTTTTTGTGGTCACATTATGCCCAAGTTTATGTCTCATGCATGTTTGGTTTTGCTTCCCAAAAAGGAGTAGCCTAGCAATTTTTCTGACCTCAGGCCTATTAGTCTCAGTAACTTCTCAAATAAGATCATTTCCAAACTTCTAAGCATGAGGCTAGCTGATATCATTCCCCTGCTCATATCAGACAATCAATCCGGATTTGTGAGAGGGAGAAGCATCAAAGAAAGTATTATGCTTGCACAAGAGATCACACATGACATCAAGAGGCCTTAAGAAGGAGACAATGTGGTAATCAAACTAGACATGACCAAAGCCTATGACAGAGTTTCTTGGTCCTTTACTTGCTTGGTATTAAGGAGATTGGGTTTTGGGGAATTTTTCATTGATCTAGTGTGGAGAACCATGAGTAACAATTGGTACTCAATCATTATTAATGGCCATAGACATGGTTTTTTCCACTCAACTCGAGGTCTCAAACAAGGTGATCCTCTTTCTCCGGCCCTATTTATTTTAGGTGCGGAGGTTTTATCAAGAATGCTTAACAACACTCTGCAGAATCCTATGTATAGAGGATTTAACATGGATCCCAAAGGCCCCCAGATTAACCATCTAAGTTTTGCCGACGATGTGATTATATTTACTTCTTCAGACACAGACTCTATGAGACTCATCATGGCCAATTTGGAGGAATATGAACACACTTCGGATCAACTTATCAACAAAGAGAAGAGACATTTTATGGTCCCCTCAAACACTCCTCAAGATATCATCAACAACATACAGCAGGTCACTGGTTTTACACAGAAGGACAGTCCAATCACTTACCTAGGCTGTCCATTATACATTGGTAGACAAAGGATCATTTATTATTCACAACTTGTTGAGAAAGTGTCCAAGAAGATTTGTGGATGGCAGGCAAGGATATTAAGTTTCGGAGGCAAAATCACTTTTGTCAAGCATGCATTACAATCCATTCCTATTCACACTATGGCTGCAATCTCACCTCCCAGTACTACTATTAAATACATTGAGTCTATTATTGCTGATTTTTTCTGGGGAAGAGATCAAGACCATAGGAAATACCATTGGGCATCACTCGAAACCATGAGCCTACCTTATGATGAAGGAGGGGTGGGGCTCAGAAGACTCACAGATATCTGCACTTCTCTGCAGTATAAACAGTGGTGGAACTTTAGAGCTAAAGACTCTCTATGGGGTCAATTCCTCAGGTCCAAATACTGTCAGCGAGCCAATCCAGTTGCAAAGAAAGTGGACACTGGTCAGTCCTTAGTGTGGAGATATATGACGAAGAATAAAGACAAAGTAGAGGATCATATTACATGGAAGATTAGGTCTGGAAGTTGTTCCTTTTGGAGGGATGACTGGCTAGGAATGAGTGCTCTTGCTAAGTACACCACCAGCATTTCCAGCCGCAATAATGCTACGATTGCCCACTTTCTAGTCAACGGGGAATGGAATGAAAGAAAGCTGCGACAGCAGGTTCCACCACTGCTCATCCCCCACATATTGAGCACTAAATTTCAATACCAACAAGGAGATAAAGACACGGCAGTCTGGAATCCAAACGACTCTGGGAATTTTTCTTGTGCCTCAGCATGGAAAATATGCAGACGCAGGAAGAGTAATGCAGTGAGTAATTCACAGATTTGGCATAAGAATATCCCCTTCAAGATGTCTTTTCTCGTTTGGAGAGCACTTAGATATAAACTACCAACTAACGAAAAATTGGCTACTTTCGGAGTGGAGCCAGTGAGGTGCTATTGTTGTATCCAAAAAGGATGGGATGAAGTGGACCATATCTTCAATCAAGGACCATTTGCAACTCATATCTGGACATCCTTTTTGAGTCCAATGGGGGTTACTTTCCAGCAGTCCTCTTTGAGTAATCATATCTTGAGATGGAATGATATCCAAGGAAAGAATGAAGCCCACAAAACTCTCATCGAAACTCTTCCCATTGTGGTCTGCTGGAACCTGTGGAAGAATCGATGCTCGGCTAAATATGGGGGGAAAAATCCAGCAGCAGAAGAGTCAAGTACATGATCCTCAAAGATATCCTCCACCTGCTCAACACTGTTTTTCCTTACATCTGCTGGCCTGCACAGTGGACAGAAGTAGTGGACCTGATCGCGAGCTGCAAACATGATGTTAAAGTTACTTCTGTGATCTGGAAAACACCTCCTCCTAACAGCTACAAGCTTAACACAGATGGTAGTGCTTTACAAAACCCCGGGAAGATAGGAGGGGGAGGCATTCTACGAGATGAACAAGGAAAGATCACTTATGCATTTGCCTTACCTCTTGGTGAAGGGACCAATAATCAGGCAGAAATTCAAGCTGCCAATTATGGGTTAAAATGGTGCATTCAGCATGGATACAAGAAAATTATTCTAGAAGTAGACTCCGAGCTTCTAACTAGGTGGATATTGCAAACCTCTACACCCCCTTGGAGGATTCAAAAATTTGTACAGGAACTTCAAAATCTTGTTAGCCAATGTGAAGTCTTCCAATGTAATCATATATATCGAGAGGCTAACAGCACTGCTGACTTCCTGTCCAAGCAAAGTCACAAAAAGGACATCACTCAACATTACTAAACTTACAACCAATTGCCACATGCAGCACGTGGTAGCTATATTCTCGAGAAAATGGGAGTTCAAACTCTCAGAAGAAAGAAACTTAAAAGAATTAAAAAGCCCCCTTAAGTTAGAATAGTTTCTTGATTAGGTTTCTTTTATTCTTTCCTTGTAAAGGGGGGATTCTCCCTTATTTATGTTTTCCTAGAATGTTGTATTGAGAGGAGTCCTCTCCTTAGGTGCATAGCTCTAGGTTTTTCCTTTATAGTATGGGAATGAGTTGACTAACCTTAGTAGGTAGGTCAACTTATGACCCACCATAGGATCGGAGTTAGGTTATGTCCCCCTCTTTGTATATTTTTTTGAGCTCTTTTGAGCTTTTTATTTATGTTAAGGCCTGGGGGTGTTGCTAAGCCCCTGACCCCCCCAAGGGTCGTTCAAATAAAAAAAAAAAAAAAAAACCTACAAACCCCATCGCTTCCTCATTTCCCAATTTTTTTCTCTCTCTACGCGGAACTCTCTCTAATTTTACACAGCAGGTACAACCCCAATGGCTAGTTCAGCAGCCGGAATGGCACGTGAGCCTTCGATGGGCCTCTTCAGGCCGCCGGACCAAGGCCAGCAGAGGCGCCTTGAGCAGACGAACAAAAACCATCAGGAATCACCTTCCAATTCAACCTACAACTCCATGAATTCGCGAAACAATGAAGCAATGCATATCGCGATTTCAGAGAGGGAGTTGGACAGGATTCAAAAAATTATTTCCCCAGATCGCGATAAGGTGATTCATCAAAATATGTTTAGTGGGGATGATTCTCCTACTCAAAGGCTACAACATACTAAAAAATCGTGTGATTCCACCTCCCCAATTGAGAGAACTGAGGAGATGAATTCTTGGAAAAGTTCCAAAATATCGCGTGAGCGCCACCTTCAGATTCGTCCACCTTCACGCCAATTTCATGGCGATTTGAACACTGGGATTACTCACCTAGTGAAGAGGTACATCTCACTGCAATTTCAAGTAAAATTAACGGTCCAATCACCGGAAACATGAATTTCGATGAGCAAATAGCTGAAAAATTGAAAAGTGACGGCGGCAGTGCTACTGAGAATTATTCGATAGAGGAAGAGGTCCATCTTACTAACATATCCATTAATATAACTCAAGAACATCACCAAGAAGCAATTCAGGCAAGCTTAGATAATTCTACAACCAATCAACACATTGAAGTTGAAGAACTCAATGGCGGAAGTGAAGCAGCTCAGCAGGGGACATATTCTCAAGATCATGCAGGTCCTAATGGTCAAAAACAAGACCTACAATCAATGGAGAAACATAAATTAACCATGAATTTGAAGCTGGAAGACACACGACTAAGTCAAGACCAAAATGATCGACATGGCAATACAAAGTCGACAACTTTGGAAGTAATTAAAGTGGAACGCTCATCACATTTCTCATTTGGAGTCAAACCAACAGACACAATTCAAAGCAATGGAGGACAACAAAGCCAGGTAAGACCACTAACTACAATAATGAATTTGATCATAGTCACAGATAGGAATACCAGGCAGCAGACAATAATGCATCAAGCAAAAATCCGACTGACGGTGGCACTCAAGAAGGTAAGTCTTCTCACTCTAACTTGAGTAGAAATGTTGTAAGCTTGAGTAGTAGTGCTGATCATGTGAAGGCTAGTGCAAAGGGACAAAAGAATGGTATGCTGAATGATCCGGAACATGGCAGGGGGAACATTGAATCCCAAAAGAAGGTTGAACGAAATCATAGTAGTGAGAAAAACAAAGGTCGATCTCCTCTATCTAATCATGGAGGGAACTCTAAACCCAATACTTATCATAAGGAGTTCTCTAAAATTTCCCATAATTTTCATAGATACACTATTTCCAATCACAAAGGTCAGCAAAATAATCCTCCCAACCAATCCAAAGTCCCCAGCAATACCAATGAGAATCAGTAAACCAAACAGGATCAGAATACAGAACCTACTCCTTATACAGTGGTACAAACGCTGGCTGCAAGACTTAGACAAATCCATGCTACACATGGTACCTCCATAGAGCTGGTTCCCCAGACATACTACCAAACAAGGCCAACCTGCAGTGATTTACGATATGGATAACTTCATGAACAAATTGGTTGTGGACTATAAGTATACCCTTATAGGTAAATTCAAAACCACCATGCCGAAAATAGAACTCATAAGGAAAAGCTTCATCCTATAAACTCAACTGAATGGGGGGGTCAATATTGCTCACTATAATGCTAGGCATGTTTTTATTGATTCAGACAGTGAATTGGACTATAACACTGTATGGACACAATAAAGAATGACTATCGAGGGCAAACTTATGAGAATACAAACTTGGACTCCTAATTTTAGACCTGAAGATGAAACACCCATTGTCCATATATGGGTACTACTGCTAGGATTACCATGGCATTGCTTCAAGAAAGAATTCATCACACCTCTATTAGAGTCTGTGGGCAAGGTTTTATACTTAGATACAACCTCTATTAAAAGAACTATCAAGTATGGCCAAGGTAAAAGTCCAAGTGGACCTCACAAAGGCTCGACCTAGACATGTTTGGATTGGTTTGGATGATGAAGATCTCACTATAGGGAGATGGCAACCTATTAAATATGAAAATGTTCCCCCTTACAGTGAATACTTCAAACATCAAGGCCACATGGTAGGTGATTGTAATTTCAAAATAAGGGATGAGGACTTCAAAAGGAGGAAAGAGTTAGGTGCAGAAATGAAAAACATGAATAAAGGTGAACAAGGTCAGCAAGGAGGAGATCTCCGGCAAATCAGGACAAGCGAACAAGAGGGACAACACCAACAAAACACCAAGGATGGGAATTATGCACAGCAACCTGAGCAGCAAAAGGAAGAAGAATGGCAAGTGTCAAGAAGAAGAAATAGTAAATCACAGGATGAGAAAATGCAAAAGATAGTGTGGAGACCAACCTCACCACAAAACAAAATGTCAAAAGAGCAACCACAAATCACAGCTCAACAGTCAGGTACAGTCAACACTTCTAATCATAATTCTTTTACTAACCTTAATATGCAGGAAAAACATACTGAAGACATCCAGGAGCATAACAGTAGTGATGGGATAACACCAATTGGAGCACAAAGCAGGTCTAAAGCAGACCATAACCAAAAAGCACAAGTCAAGCAAATAGGAAACAAAGTAAACAACAAGACCACGTGTATTGACTCAATGCTCCCAATTCCCACAGACCCCAACATTTCATATTTTGATGGTGCTGCTGAAGTTGAAGGAGGGATGGATGGGGGATGCCAGGAAAAACACACTAACATGCAGGAAAGGGGATCCAAATAGGGGAATTTGACTCATGTTTTGCATGAGGGTACACACTTTGACCATAGTTCAGACCTTAGAACTCCTGCTACCACTACAAGTCAGCAACTTAATTTTGATCAGCAACAGGTACAACATCAGGATCATGCAGGGGCAAGAACACAGATTAATATTGAAAATAACAAGGGATGGCAAGAGCTGCAGGACAACAAGATATAGGATCTATGTCAAAGGATATTGGAGCTAAAGCTAGTACTAGTAATCAGGGGAACACTCCCAAAAGCAAAAACAAACATAGAAAAAAAAAGAGGCTGCAAAAAAAAGACAAAACATGCAGCAAGGCAGTGATCAACATGAGAACAACAAGGGAGTGGGGAAAGCTGCAAGAAGTTTATTATGGTTGATGAGCAGTTGGGCATGGACATTACTCCTTTACAAACCCAATACATGAACCCCCCTCTTAATGTCCCTCCAGATAAAATTCCTGAAAAGTGTCAAATGAACAAAGGTCCTACCATTGATGAATATGTTGTTGATAATTCAGAAGATGAATTTGATGTGGATAATCAATCACTCAATGGCCCTGATGAAGATGATGAAACTAGTGAATTACTGATTAGAGCTTTTAGCCCTCACTCGGACAAAGGCCTTGCAGACGAAATTCAACAGGTTGCTAATAATCAGGGATTATCCCCCAAAGGAATTCATCATGATAGGTTCAAATTCAAAGTCCAAGATATCAACTCTGTCACAGCAGGCAGACCAAACACTAGGTTGTTAACTTCCAGATCATCTCAATGATTAGTACAATCATTTGGAATGTGAGAGGGATGAACACTCAAGGTGTAATTGAAAGACTCAAAATGCTCAAGAAGATACATCATCTCTCTATCATTGCTATCCTCAAACCTTTCTCAGATACTACTCACATTCAAAGTTTTAAGAACCAATTAGCTATGTAATATGCTGTGAGTAATTGCAATGGCAAAATTTGGCTCTTTTGGAACATGGACATTGATTGTGTAGTTCTTGAGGAAGATGAGCAACAAATTACTTGTGACATTGACCATAATGAACTCCAGACCCACTCCACCATCACCTTTGTGTATGCCAAGTGTAAGAATCAGCTCAGGAGACCTCTTTGGGATAGAATGATGCATCATGCTGCTGACAACACCATTCCCTGGTGCTCAGTAGGTGATAACAATGTCATCACTTCCATTGAAGAAAAGTTGGGAGGGGTACCTTATAACATGAGAAAGATTTAGAATTCATTGTTGTGATAGAAGCCTGTGGACTCCTAGACCTGGGTTTCAGTGGACATAAATTTACTTGGTCCAATAAAAGGGGTATAAGTCATCGAATCTGGAAAAAGATTGGACAGGCCCTTGTTAATGATACTTGGTTGGAAAAAATGCCACAGACCACCATCACTCACTTACCTTCTGTAGGATCTGACCACTGCCCTTACTGATGGAAATGAATGCTAGAGTGGAAGATCATATCAAGTATTTTAAAATCCTCAACTGCTGGACTGAACAACCCAACTTTATTGATACTGTTAAAACTTGTTGGGAAAAACCTATAGAGGGGAACAACATGTGGAGATTTCATCAGAAGTTGAAGAGGTTGTCCAGCACTCTTAGCTCTTGGTCTAGGAGGGAATTTGGGGATATTTTCTGTAAAGTCAAGGAATATGAAGACAGGTCATAGCTGCAGAAGAGAATCTCATTCATACTCACAATGCAAGTTGCAGGACTACTCTACATGAGCTTAATGCAGAGTACATCAGATTTCTAAAATTGGAGGATTCAATTTTAAAACAAAAAACTCAGTTGCACTGGTTTAAAAAGGGGGATGCAAACACTAAGTGTTTCCATTCACTGATAAGAGGAAGGAGAAGAAGACTATTTATCCATAAAATTCTCAGGGAGGATGGGGAATGGATACAGGGGGATGATAACATTGCAAAGGTTGCTAGTGCCCATTTTCAAGGTATTTTTACAGGGGTGGACAAGTCTATTAATGAGCATTCTATCAGTTGTATTCCCAGAATGGTCAACCAGGAACAAAACAATAATCTTACTGCCTTGCCTGATCTGGAAGAACTGAAGGAAGTGGTCTTCTCTATGAATCCTAATTCAGCAGCTGGTCCGGATGGGATTAATGGCCTTTTTTTCCAGAAATGTTGGCAGATTATTAAGCATGATTTCCTTAGTGTCATTCATGCTTTCTTCTGTGGCCATGAGATTCCTAAATATTTCTCTCATTCTTGCATTGTTCTTTTACCTAAAGTGAGCAATCCCAACAAACTTGCTGAGTTCAGGCCCATCAGTTTAAGCAATTTCACTAGCAAGATCATATCTAAGCTAGTGAGCTCTAGACTTGGTCCCATGTTACCTAATTTAATTTCTCTTAATCAGTCTGGTTTTGCCAAAGGCAGAAGTATATTAGAAAATATTATGTTGGCACAAGAGATCATCCATCAGATTAAGAAACCAAATATTGGGAGCAATGTCATTATTAAACTTGACATGGCTAAAGCATACGATAGGGTCTCTTGGTCATATATATGTTTGGTGCTGAGAATAATGGGGTTTGATGAGGTCTTTATTGATATGGTTTGGAGGATCATGGCTAACAATTGGTACTCTATTATTGCCAATGACAAAAGACATGGTTTCTTTCAATCCACCAGAGGTCTCAAGCAAGGTGACCCTTTATCCCCGGCCCTATTTATTTTAGGTGCAGAGGTCCTGTCCAGATCCTTGAACAACCTTCACAACAATCCAGATTACTATGGATTATTCATGGAACCAAGAGGCCCTCAAGTGAACCACTTAAGTTTTGCTAATGACATCATACTCTTCACTTCAGGAAGATAGAAAACTCTTCAACTCATTATGCAAACTTTGAAGGTCTATGAAGAGACCTCAGGCCAGCTTATTAACACTGACAAAAGACATTTCATGGTCCATACTAGTTCCTTTAACAGCACTAGAGATAGGATCAAGAGGATCACTAGTTTCAGACAGAAGGAGGGCCATCTCACTTACCTTGGTTGCGCTTTATTTGTTGGTAGACCAAGGATTATTTATTTTTCTGATCTTATTAACAAAGTTTTGTGTAGAATTACAAGGTGGCAAACAAAATTGTTGAGTTATGGTGGGAGAGCTATTTTAGTCAAGCATGTCCTACAATTTCTACCTATTCACCTCTTATCAGCAGTGACCCCCGCTGTTACTATCCTAAACCAGGTCCAAAGTATCATGAATGATTTTTTATGGGGATGGAGAAATGAAAAAAAGAAATACCATTGGGCTTCTTGGAAAAATCTAAGCTTTCCTTATGAGAAGGGAGGTATTGGTATGAGAAATTTCAAGGATGTATGCATAGCCTTCCAATACAAACAGTGGTGGTGCTTCAGATCCAAACAAACCCTTTGGGGAGATTTTTTGAAGGCTAAGTATTGTCAAAGATCCAATCCTATTAGTAAGAAATGGGATACAAGAGAATCACTGACCTTGAAACATATGATGCACAACAAACACAAGGTGGAGGAGCACATTAACTGGAAACTCAACTCAGGCAATTGTTCCTTCTGGTGGGATAATTGGCTTGGTGTTGGACCCCTTGCTCAATTCTCAACTGACAGTAACAGATTCAACAATACAACAGTAGCAGATTTTTGGGTCAAAGGGCAATGGGACTTGAACAAGCTTATTCGACAAGCTCCTAACAATTATCTCGCCAACATACTATCCACTGAACTCTATATACAGCAGGACACTCCTGACCAATCTATTTGGAAGCTTAACAGTGATGGTCACTTCACTTGCTCATCTGCATGGAACGAGATTAGAGAAAAAGGACCAAGACAATTTTCAATACACTCATTTGGCACAAGAGTATTCCTTTTAAAACTTCTTTTCTTTTGTGGAGTACATTACGTGGTAAGCTTCCTACTAATGAAAAACTAATTAGTTTTGGCAATGAGCCAACAAATTGTTTATGTTATTGTAACAGGCCAGGTCTGGACACCATAGAACACACATTCAACAATGGAACCTTTGCTACTTACGTGTGGAAAAGCTTTGTTGCAGCTGCTGGAATCAATGCAGACCATAGCTCCTTACCTCAACTCATCATGCAATGGTGGTTGATCAAACACAACAACACAGCACACAAACTACTATTACAAGCCACACCAATATTTATTTGCTGGAATTTATGGAAGAACAGATGTGCCAACAAACATGGAGGGAAACAATCCAATATTAGTAGAGTCAAGTATGCCATTTATAAAAACAATTACAAGCTCATGACTACAGTTTTTCCTCAAATCAAATGGCAGTCCAATTGGAGGGAACTAATCCAGCAGGGAGAAAGATGCACTCACGACACTAAAGTTACTCTTGTTCGATGGATTAAGCCTCCAAATCAATGGGTCAAACTCAACACGGATGGTAATGCACTAAGTAATCTAGGCAGAATTGGAGCAGGAGGCATCCTAAGGGGTCAAGATGGTGAAATGATACTAGATTTTTCTACCCCCTTAAGAGAGGGCACTAACAACCAAGCGGAAATAGGAGCAGCAATATTCGGCATAACCTGGCTACTACAACTAGGGTATATGAATGTTGTTCTAGAGATGGAATCGCAACTTCTTGTGGATTGGATCATGATTAAAGTTAAGCCTCCACGGAGCATTTGCACACAGCTGCAGAAAATTCAAAAACTCAACAGACAGACAAGCAAATTCAAGTGCAAACACATCCTCAGAGAAGCCAATTTTGTGGCTGATTCACTATCAAAACATAGTCACCACCTCACATGTCCTCAAATATATTGCAATACTCACCAACTACCAAAGGAAACAAGAGCATACTACCAACTCGATATGCTTGGAATGGTAAGTTTCAGGAGGAGGAAAACTAAAAGGATCAAAGAGCCCCATTGATTTTGATTCCAACCTTTTCAACCTAGCTATGGTTTTTTAATTATAGCTCTTTTGAATAGGTCTAGTTTGTTTTGTTTTGTTATAGTAAAGGGAGAGTCTGCCTTATTTACTATTCCTAGTTTATTTGTATCGAGAGGAGTCCTCTCTTAGTTGCTTAGTTTCTTTGTTTATCTTTTTTGTAAGGTGATGAGTTGACTAACCTTTAGGTAAGTCGACTACAAAACCATCATAGGTTCGGAGGTAAGGTTTATGTCCCCCTCCTTGTACTTCTGTTTTTATTTATGCTAAGGCCTGGGGGTGTTGCTAAGCCCCTGACCCCCCCAAGGGTCGTTAAAATGAAGAAAAAAAAACCTACAACCCTAAACCCTAAACCCCAAGACCTAAACATTAAACCCTAAACACTAAACCCAAAACCCTAAATTTTAAACCTTATACCCAAAACTCTTAACCATAAACTCGTAACTCTAAACACTAAACTCTAAACCCTAAACCCTAAAACCTAACCCTAAAATTAAAACCCTTAATCCTTAACCATAAACCCTAAACTCTAAATTGTAAACCCTAAACCTAAACCCTAAACCCCATCGCTTCCTCATTTCTCAACTTTTTTCTCTCTCTAAAAAATTCGCTCTCAAACTTGCTCTCACCAGGCGGAAAATACACAGTTCACCGGAATGGCCATAGAGCCGCCGGGGAAGCAGCTCCGACCACCGGAGCAGTCTCATTCGACGCGGAATTCCAATATGAACAAACCCCAACAGGGCGCTTCATCAGATTCATCAGACAACTCTTCGAAATTGCAAAGAATTGAAGCGATCCATGTCGCGATTTCTGAAGAAGAGTTGGACTGGGCTCGAAATATTATGTCCCTAGAGCAATCTGGAATGATTCGTGTTAACTCAACTGGAAATCATGAATCTACATCTAAAGATCTACCTACAGTCCAAAAATCAAACGATTCCATCGCACAAATCGAGAGATCTATGTAGGCGATTTCTAGAGAAATTGTCGCGAAATCGCCAGATGTGCGCCTCCAAATTCGAACAACTTCTGATGAGTTAAACGAAATTTCAACCACTGGGGAATCATCCCCAGGTCAAGAAGTACATCTTACTGAAATCTCGGATTATTTTAACGGTAAAATCTCCGGCTACATAAAATCCGGCAAAGACACCGGAGCTCCGGTCAGCAATGTCAATGAAGGGTCACACCAATTGAATCCTCGTGCTTAGGACAACCTCCAGAAGGTAAGTGAACACCTAAATCATCAGCAACATATTAATGTTGGCTCGTCTAATCTGCAGGACCAAGCTACAGCCAAAGATGCTGCTCATCACATAGGAGATGAAGGGGAATTAGTTCGAATGACTAGTGTGTTGAATCAAGGACACAACCAGGACAATGAACACACTTCAAACCAAATGATGCAACCACTACAACAACACCAAGAGAAGCTGTTCACAATGGGATCCACTGATGGCAATGTACAGGAGAAAATGCAAGAGAATCAAGAACCAGCTACAACGGGAATTCAAGAAGCACAATTGGCAAATGATGAGGTTCATTCAGGGATATCTAAAGACAAACAACATGGCAAAGGGGAGAAGACCAAATGGAAAGCTAAAGATACAATAAACTCCAATGCAAATACAATGCAACAAAGCCAAGACAATGGACGGGTACAGCCAGGCAATACCAACAAGGAGAAGGCAGGTAAGTTCGTTAATTTTGTCCCTAATGATGTTGATCATAGTGATACCTCTAGGAATAAATTGCATAGTGGTCAAAATGAGCTTGGGAAAGGTCAGGTTGTTGTGCAGGCTGCTGGAAACGAGGCTACTGGACAAGCTGGTAAACTCAGTCACATAAGCCAGGATATTACTCCCAAAATCCTCCCACCACCCGTCAAAATATCCTCAAATTTTGATAGTTACAGGCCCAACCAGCAAAGAAACAACCAAACTAGCCCAAAACAAAACCAACACAAACCTATTGCTAATAGCATTCTTTCAAAAAATGCTAATCACCAAATCCCGGATCCTTCTCCTCCAATATTTTCCAATCCTTAGCTACTAGACTTAAAGCCATCCAAACCAAAAACTCTGTCCCCATGGACATAATCTCCCCTATTATTACTACTAGACAAGGATACCCCTCTATAACCTTTTATGAAGAGGACTTCATGCAAAAAATGCCGGGAAGATGTAAATACACTCTTGTAGGTAAATTTACCAATGCCATGCCTAAGATGGAGGTCATTAAAAAAGCTTCGTTGCTCAAACTCAGCTCACTGGAGGGGTTAAAATTGCACATTTTAACTCAAGGCATATTTATATCGATTTGGATAATGAAGCTGACCATATCTCAGTCTGGACAAAGCAGAAGATGTTCATTGCAGGCCATCCTATGAAGCTGCAGGTGTGGGCTCCTACATTTAAACCTGCTGAGGAAACTCCTATCGTGCCAATCTGGATCACTCTACCACAGCTCCCTTGGCATTGCTATTATATGGACATCCTCACTCCATTGTTGTCCCCGATTGGCAAGGCTTTATATCTGGACTCTGCAACTATGCAAAAAACCAAGGGAAGTGTGGCAAAAGTAAGGGTCCAGATAGACATCACTAAAGAAAGACCTCAACATGTGTGGCTAGGTTTTTCGGAAAAAGATCCCTCTCTAGGTAAGTGGCAAATCATAGATTTTAAAGATGTTCCCTCTTATTGTCTATACTGTAAGCACCAGGGCCATGTACTTGGAGAATGTCCAGTGAAGGAAAGGGATGAAGTAATAAAACAAAAGAAGGAGCTGAAAGCTAACAAGAAAGGTTACGAGAAGCAGCCAACTCAGAACTCAAAGAACAATCAACAGCAGGAGGAAAGCAAGGAAAAAGTTCAATCAAATAGGCAAAACAATGCAAACAGGCCA